TCTTGGGACACCTTTTCCATGTGTCTCAAGATGTCAAATGACATGTCCACTCTTTCTCTTTCTACCTTATACGAGATTCTGCTCAACTATGAGCAATCTCGTCAACTGAAAAGAAATCTTGTAAAAGAGTCCAGGGAAATGAAAAGCTCTCTTTTAACTTTGATCTCTGAAGCCTCTTCAGTTTATACTTCTACCCCTTTTGTTTCTTCTCTTCCTCTCGTGGTCATCAGAGATAGATTCTTCTGAGGACATTCCAGAATCTGATTTAACAGATTTTGATGAGTGCCTGACACTCCTGACTAAGTCATTTAGGAGGTTCGCCAGGAAGAGCAATTTTCGCAGATCTCCTCAGCTATCCTTCAGGGAGAAGCCAAAGTCTGAAAGAATAGACAAGGCTTCAGCTGTCTGCTACAACTGTCACCGGCCCGGACATTTTGCAGGTGAATGCAGATCAAAGAAGACTGCAATGCCATCTTCTAAAGCTCCCTCCTCCTTCAGGACCAAAGATGAAAAATACTTAAAACTGAGGGAGAAATACAAGAAGATGAAGAACAACCAGTGAAAGGCTAAAGGCCTTATTGCTGAAGAGCATGACTGGGCTGAATCATCTGATGAATCATTTCAGATGAAGAGGATAAAGCCTATGTTTGCTTGATGGCCATTGATGCTAATGAAGAATCTTCTGAAGCATCTACCTCATCTGAGCCATCTACTTCTTCTACTCAGGTATGCTTCATGAATGAACCCTTTTCTAGTCTTTCTGCACTGGATACGCTGACGGTTGACCTTTACAATGCCCTCAAAGGCAAATCAAAAGCTGAAATGCTTAACGTTGATCTTCAAGAGCAATTGAAGATTTGTCATTCTAAGATCAAAGAACTGACCTATGTTGAAGAAAATCTTAAAGATCAGGTCATTGTAAACCAAGCCATCACTGTTGAACGTGAGAAAGCTGTCGCTGAGCATGAGCGAGCAATCGTTGAACTCGAGACTGAGAAAGCTACCATTGAAGGGTGGTGCAAAGCTTCCCTCAAAGCCTCTGAGATCATTAACGCTCAGATTCCGGCCAAGAAAACGACTGGTCTAGGATTCTCCTATGATCAGGAAGAATGTGTTAAAGACAGGTCCATGCTTAAATTTGGTACCTTTGTCTCTTCTATTCCTAACACTTTTTCCTCTCAGTCCTCTTCCTTTACTGAGAGTCATCTTGAAGGAACTCCTTTGAGTTCTGGGTGCAAAGACAAAGGTAAATCCACTGTCACAACATCCCTTTCTAATAGATCTAAATCTATTCCTTCAACTTGTAAAACTTCTTCTTCTTCTTCTTCTTCTTTAGGGACTAGGAAATCTGAATCGCATCAGAAATCTAAGTCACAGCTCAAGGTGAACTTTTCACCTAAGGAATCCAATTCCTCAAAGGTTCCTCCAAGAACCAATGAGAAGGAAATCCTTGGAGTTGGTCCCACTTCTAGTCTGATACTTCCTGGCCCTAAAGTTACTCCTAGTTTTAGGAAGTGTAAACACTGTGGTGAAAGAACACATGTTGCCAGTAAGTGTCCTTTT